CAGCTGGCCAGGGAAATGTTTGCTTGTGGAGATGGCTGAGATGCCATCCTGACCAAAGAACTATATCCTGAATCGTTCCTGATCCTGAATTGTAAACTGTCACTTCCCTAATCCGTAACTGTGAATGTGGCTTGTCAGTTTTGGCCTCTGTAAGGAATGAGCTGGAATCGGCAGAGAAGTGGAGTGCCTGGGAGAGACAGCTGGCTTAGAGTTAGTAAAAAGGTTGGAAAGTGTGTGTGTGTGGGGGGGGTGGGATGGGGTGTCTGATCGTCCCCTGATAGGAATCTGCCTTGGGGTTGATCTAGATTCTCTCTCCCCCTTGTGCACTTGGAGGAGGAACTCAGAGGACCCCCCACACTGTTTTTAATACTTCCCCAGGAGTCCTCATCCCTACTCGACCCCAGCCCTGTCCCATGCCTCCAAATCTCTCTCCCAACCAACTGTGACCATCTAAGCCCCTTAACCAGCCCAGAACCTCCAGCCCCTCCCCTCTGCCCACTACCCCCTACACACATCGGGACTCCAATTCTCCTGAGGAGCCCCAAACCTGCATCTTGGGCCCTCCAGTCCCCAGATCACCCTAAAGGGCGCTTCAGGGAGCCCTTTTCTCCCTTGCCCAGGCCCCAGGCCCCAGCCCCCAGGAAACTGAGACTTCCATACTTGGCAATTAGTCTGGGTCCCAAGGGTTTAGGGACCTGTCTTTATGGCTTTTCCAAGGGACGGGGCGTGGCTTCCTCAAAGGGGCGGGGCGTCCTCCCTTCTCAGCCCAAAAGGAGCGCCCTAGACGCTGGGGGCGTGGCCTCAAGTAGGGGGATGTGGCTTCTTCCTTCCTCACGCCCTAGGGGCGTGTCCTCCTCGAGAGGGCGGGGCGACTTCCCCTCACAATTCCCCAGAGGGGAAACTAAGGTAAGGTCGCACGCAGGCGCCGTGTGCTCTCCACGCACAGACTGAGGGCGTGGCTTCCGTGCCCCGGGCTGCGGGGGGGGGGGGGCCCACGCAGGGGCAATGCAGCCCGCCCACTCCACGCAGGCGCAGTGTCGCCCACCTGGCCCGCGCTAGGGCGCAGGCGCGGCACCGCCCTCCTCGGCGGAGCGCGTGTCCGACTTGAGCTTGACGAATTCCTTGGCCACCTCGTCGTTGCTGCGCTGCGACAGGATGCGCAGCACCGTGAGGCCCGTGTCGTCCATGTGGATGCGGCGGCCGAGCGGCAGCCAGCAGGCGGCGCTCCCGCGCTGGGCCAGCTCGCGCAGCTGCAGCACGGCCAGCCCCACGGTGCGGTCCTCGCGGGCGAAGCAGTAGTCCTTGACGCAGACCTGCAGTTCGTAGCACTCGGGGCCCGTGTCGGCGCTCAGGGTGCTGCGGAAGGAGGGGCGTGAGGGCCACGCCCGCTGGCGAGGGGGGGGGGAATGCCCGCTCCCTGGCCACGCCCCACGATCTCCGTGACCGCGCCCACACCAAAGGAGCCGTTCAGGCCCTCTTGCTGCCCTGCCAGGTGAAGCTTCTCCCCTCTCAGATCACCCTGTGCCTCGACCACACCTACACTAGGATGTAGATGGCCCCGGGTCCCACCCATGACTGCTCAGATGACCAGTTTTGATCTCCCAGGTTAGGGGTGCCCTGGCCCGGCCCCAGGTGCCATACCCCAACCCCCTAACTAGATCTCCCTCCTCCCCGTCCTTCAGCCACAGGACCTCATTCTAGACCAACCCTGCCTCACGAGTGACACTGACGCCATCTTCAGCCCTCCATGACAAATGAAGTCTGCCAGGTCCTGTTCCCATCTCG